ATAAGAAAATACTTGATAATAAAATAGAAAATATTGTTTTTTAAATATTTTTGATACTTTAAAGAAAAAGTTCAAATTTAATATAGTTTTGTGTAGATTTCATATTAATTTTTTTAGATGAGTTGACTCACGATAACAAGTCGGGTCGTGACCAGCTTTAGCTTGGCTGATTAGCTCATTGAAATCGGTTCACGAGCCACTTATTAAGCCGTGCTCGAGTTGACGCACCAATCGATTTGACTCACTCACACCCTTATATTACACCGTATTACTAGCACCCATTACATTACAACACGCCACTCCTATCCTCCATAATCACCTTAATCTGGCTTATCTTACCGACTACCATGCATTCTCTATACAAAGCCTCACAACTATCTCTGCACATTCTATTTTGCTCCGTTGGCCAGACTTGTTATTCTCATCCCTATCCAAATTTTTACTAGTATCAAATCCCCCCATCAAATACCAACTGTTAGGTCAAATACATCGTACATCAAAAACATATCAGCACGAATCACATATATCTCATGGATGGCATAGGAGGTGGTGTGGCCCTCATGGCCTACCAAGAGAAGGGACAGGACCGCGTGTTCAACCAGCTGTATCAAGTGCTGTGAAGACGATGCGCCTCAGACAGATGAGAAATAAGAAAATACTTGATAATAAAATAGAAAATATTATTTTTTAAATATTTTTGATACATTAAAGAAAAAGTTCAAATTTAATATAATTTTGTGTAGATTTCATATTAATTTTTTTTTTAGTTGACTCGGCTCACGGGATAACAAGTCGGGTCGTGACTAGCTTTAGCTTGGCTGGTTAGCTCATCGAAATCGGTTCACGAGCCACTTATTAAACTGTGCTCGAGTTGACGCATCAGTCGGTTTGACTCACTCACACCCTTATATCACATATATCTCATGTATGGCATAAAAGGTGGCGTGGCCCTCATGGCCTACCAAGAGAAGCACGGGACCGCGTATCAAGTGCTGTGAAGACGATGCACCTCAGACGGATGATGTGTATATTACTCCTAAAGAATCCATCTACCCAGGTTTGCTCGGACAAACCTTTCGTTTCAAAACTCGGGTATATAGAGAAAGTGAGCGGATCTTTCAGTTTCAAAGCGGTATATATTGAGCTTCGGCAAGTAGCAGACCTGAGGGCCGCCCGGCTATACTCATGGGTCCAACAGGCAATATTTATGCACAGACTAAAATACCCGTCTTCCGGATATATTTGGATTCAATATATATATACATATATATATAAAGGGTAGTAAAAACATGCCAGGCCTATCCACCACAGTACAAAATGGATAGTTTACATAAATACCATACAATTCCTTCGTATTTACATATCTAACGCCTAAAACTTGATATTTATATTTATAGCACTGGTGTCATGCATCCATGCATGTAAAAGAGTGCTTCACTTTTAGCAAGGTAATATCAGTGATATTTTTTTATATGATATTAAATATCAGTCTGTTATATATGTAAATATGGAAGTTTATGTGTTAGATATGTAAATACATAAAGAAATGTGCCGGCATGTATGTAAATGCCCCTAAAGAAAATCATGAATGACCAGTGACATCATATCTAGAAATAAGTCTTGGGTCGATAAACTTCAACCATGAGAACTTTCGGTGTGGGAGGAAATGTCCAATCACCAGGTTGCCATCACTATAACCATTAACAATATATAAGTTAAATAAATCTTCATTATCTAAAAAAAAGATAGTTATGTCCAAAAAAGGAGTAATCAAACTTTTATAATACTGATTTGGATAAAAAGAAATATAATAAACATGAAACAACCTACCATCATGTTAAATATTGCATACGTGGAGTGCACAAGGTGTTCAAAAATTTCCTTAACACATTTTTTGAGACAATTGTTTTATAAACTTGAATTTAGAACCCAATATCCAAATTTATTTCAACACTAATTAGAAATATAAATGAGATAAGCTAGGGAGGTTATTGGGTTAATTTCATGAATTTAGATGGTAATATCAAAGGAATTTTGCAAGAAATGCAGGGATTTGAGAAAATTATGTGTTTAGCATAAATAATTATATATACAATATAAAAAATGAATGAATTTGAAATTTACACTGTAATTCATTTTGACCAAGTTTGAATTACACCATACATGTAAAAATGCTACAAGCAAGCCGCCGTTGTTGCCGCTGTCGCTGCGGTCACCCTCTGTCCCCACCCGCTTAATTTGAATTACACAATTCATGAGTACTAAAAATGATCATTCCATCAATTATAGAAACTAAATATGTGTAGTTGTCACTTAAGCCAAGATGATTGGGCTCAAATTTTATTTGAAGGAAGAGAACAAGCAATAAGAAGACACCAAACTTTTTATAAAAACAAAAGTATCATTTATTTTGTAAAGAATATTGCCTTCTACTCCTTAACAAAGCACATATAACTTCAAAATTTCTAGATCTACAATTTACTTGAAGGAGATGTCATACAACTTAAAAAAATCAAAAAGATAAAATCTTGATGATTTGCTCACTCATAAACGTGACGCACACAAAAAAACTGAGGCATTTTGAACCCTTATATTGCCTTCATGAATAATGATTTGAATGTGCTATGCAAAAATGTAACTTGGATATTGACCACTAATAAAATTTCCAAATGGAAGGTCATTATATTAATGAAACCAAATTTTCTCTTGATCGGATCTGCTTAACAGATCGATTGAAGAGGAAACTTTCATTTGAATTCTTGCAGTAATAAGGAAAAAAGTAGATAAAAAATAGTCTTTTCTCCATATCTAACCTCCATCTTTGTTTTCTAAGTGAAAACTAATATTTCTAATCTTTATTTCCAAGTTTATAAGAAATGTTATTACTGTGACCAATCAGCATGATTCAATACTGCTCGGTCCTAACAGAGCTTAACACACACAGCATTTAAAACCAAATCTTTAATCTCATAAAATAACATTATGTTGCAAATTTAACATATGCATATAAGTTGAACAAGTGAATATTCTTTCAATAAAAGAGACATATTGAAAGTTCAATCACAAATAAATGTTTGAAATCACCTCTGTTGTTATTCCTCAGCTCTTCTCTAATCTAATTCTTTCGCTGCCATTAACCAGGAACCTGAGAGCCAACTCATAAGAAGAAAAGATAGCTCCATTGACAACAAACGCTCTCGTGACCGCAGTTCCCAATCCACGCCACAACACCGAATAGCCTTCTCTTTCGAAAACAATCGATGATTCCATCGTATTTCGGCCACGCCTGACTTCCTCTCGGCTGGGACTGAGCCTGAAGTCTGGACTTCACCACATCCAAAGGATAACAACACACCCAGCTTGCAACTCCGGCCAGTCCTCCAGCAACGAGCATTGTGCTGAGGCTTTCATTGGCCCACTTTCGACAGCCGGGGTGCATTAGTTCCCTCGCATATTCGTAAGTCCAGAAGTAAACACCGTGAGCAGGAGCATCTCTGAGAATGGTGATCGTGAAGCCTCGGTAGATTCCTGGCAGGCCTTCGCTTTTTATGATTCTCTTGGCAATAGTCAATGGCCCCACGGAATCCTCTCGGCGATGATGGCGGCGGTCCATTGTCTGCAGCTGAAGTCTGATCTTTACTAGTTCTACGGGACTTAGTAGTAAACTTTGTAGGGCACCAGTTCCGAAGCCGCCGAGTGCAACACTTTTGTAGGAAGGAGGATCATTATTCTTGTCTGAATCACAAGCTCTTGATAACACCGCGTATACTTGGAAAACCATAGCATTCTGCATTCGAGAGGAAGATATTGATTAAACTGTGTGTGTGTGTTAAACTGGGACATCAATATCATGCAAGACTTGGAATGCATACTATCCTGAATATAAAAACTCATGAGAAATAAACCATAAACCACAAAATTATAGTTATTCTCAACAACATGACTGAAAATGGTTGAAAAAATATTGTATCAAAGTTTCAGGTCCAGTTAAAAATTTAGAAAAAACAAAGCAAAATGATAGTGGACGGTTCAAGGGTGAATCAAGGAACAATATTGAGTAGGGGGAATACAACATAATTAAGGGGCATTTACATGCATATCACCGAATTCCTATGTATTTTCATATCCAAGAGCTAAACTTGTTACATTAATACCACCCAAATCATCCATATCACATTAAAAACACCACCATTTTAACTTTAAAAAAGTGAAATACACCTTTTCATGCATAGGTAAGGTGGCTTGTAGTAAATTTGAAGTTTAGGTGTTAGATATATAAATACATATGAATTGACTGGTATTATCTGAATAGTTCTTTTAGTTGTAACCCCCTACCATCATCTACTTTGGAAACCCTACCTAAGATAAATCCTACTGTGTAAAATATAATGCCTATTATTAGAGAATCTAAGCACACTGGATCACAAAGATAACTCAAAAATCACTGTGATATTCTATTAGATTCTGTTGAAGCAGTTCCTGTTATTTTATTTGTATGGATAGATTCCTTTCTCCATGTCCACCTCCAGGTTACAGGAAACATGGATTAATTAAGCAAAATGATTTATTTATATGCAATTGTTTATCATAATAACCAGAAGTAAGTTGGTTGACAGGATTGAAGTGGTTCCAATCAATAGGAGTATGAAATTCAATAATTAAAGGAAGGATATTTTTTGAAAATCAAAATGAAAAAAAAAAAAAAAAAGAATTCATCGAGAATCAACTGGCACAACAGATCAAAAAGAGTTTTAATTTGTTTATCACACAGCAGATCATCCAATCATCAATAAAATGTGTTTAGTAAAAAAGAAAATAAAATGGAACCTCCAAAAATTCGTATAAATCTTGATTTAAAAAAGGAATATAAATTTATTCTTTTTAAATCCAAGCGTATGCATCTTCCTTCCTAACATGTATGTAGGGTTGTTAACGATCTGATTTCGAGCTGAGCTGCAATCCAAAATTTTGGCTCATTGCTCGGCTCATTTATTTCAAAAATTCGTATAAATCTTGATTTAAAAAAGGAATATAAATTTATTCTTTTTCAATCCGAGCGTATGCATCTTCCTCCGATTTCGAGTTGAGCTGCAATCCAAAATTTTGGCTCATTGCTCGACTCATTTATTTCGACCCGAGCCAAAATTCAAATCAATTTTCGAGCTATCAACGATCTTCAAGCTAAATTTACAGCCCGATATGTATGCCAAATTCATTAAAATGTAGATTCATTCTTTCATTCATTTGAACCCCTAATAAAAAAAATAAGATGGTTTCTTTCTTCTCTATTTGTCTCTACTCAAATCCTTTGTTTTCTTTCCTGAACTCCTAACTACAGTGTTAGTTTCAGTAGAGAGGATATGAAATCAAAAGATACTCTGCTGCACTTCAAAATAATCTCACATATAAAATCTATAAATATTTGAATTTGATGGCGTTACATCAAATCTATACTACTGATTTGATTATTTCTGCTGCTATCGCAACAATATGTTTCTGTTTTCCGGCTTTTGGAATAAAAAAAGTAACTTAAATATTATATTAGAAGAACCCCTGATCGAAAGTTAAACATAAAACCGATCAATAAAGTACCCGAAGATTCCTCAAGGGGATCAAGTCAATCCAGATTTGAAAAAACACATTTAAAATTCGATAAAACTTCATGAAATCCCAATCATCCACTCCGCCTCCGATCCCGATCGCTTTCCATAAGTACCCTAAACAGAAATCAATCACCAAAAAAGAAACCCACCTGGAAGGCGACCGAAGCCAAGGGGGCCGTCATGCCGCGATAGAAAGCAGCAGGACCCTCGGAGCGCAGAATGGATCGAAACAGGGCGGTAGCGGAAGGTCGGCGAACATCGCTCGCCGGCGCGGCGGGCTGCTGTATGCGCACTCGCAGCGTATCGAAGGGATATCCGGCGACAACACCAGCCATCCCTCCGAGTCCTCCGGCCACGAACTCCCTTCCCCAGCTGTTCGCCAAGAATTCCGGCCAGAAATCCATCGCCGATCCAACATTCCCTTCCAAGGCGGCTAAACCCTAGATCGCAATGCCACGATATCTTTCCCCCGGCTTGCTGCTATTTGCCTAGACTTCTTATGATGGCGTAATGAGGAAGGAGAGTCTTCTCGGACTGAAACTCTGCCAAAAGTAGAGTGAGTGTACGGGTAGAGCAAGTTTCTGGTTTTTTCTGTCGTATTTGTAGAGATTTGGTGCGGCGTGTGGGAGGGCGAGGGTGGCGGAAGATTGACGACGACAGCGGCGGATAAACAGGAGGATATGGTAATATTCTTAATATAACCCCTGAAACATTATTATTTACAAATCTGACACTCTCTTTCATTCCTTTTTCAATTTCTCATTTGAATTTCCAAATTTATGATAAAATCTATCTCCTCTTTTTCATTTCACATTTTCAATATTTTTATCCTTCATTAATAAATATCAATGTTTTGGAGGGTATATATGTAATTTTACTTCCATTTTTATGTAGATCACCCCATACCTTGTATTTGGCCAAGATAGGGTGGTTGATATATGTAAAAATACATGATATATTTAGTTTAGGGGCTTTTACATAAACACCCAATATTTTTAGTATATTTATATATCTAACACCTAAGTTTTTTATTTAGTTTACATGCAAGATAGTGGGAAAAATTATTACGTCCGAAAGTTCGGGTGTAGAAATACGTTTAGAATCCAATGAATCACCTCCACATGGAGCTAACAGAAAAAAACTCATTTTATTGTGATTTGGTCTGATAATATAGAGGAATATTCATCCTGTGTTATTCCACATTATTCAGGTGCTATTATGGTGGTATTGATTTGTTATTGTGTTTTTATAATACCAGAA